CATCTGCAAAGTCAGGCAAATTTCTCTCTCTCCATCTGCAAAGGCAGACGTCTTGCGCTGTCCGAAGCATTCAAACGTGCGAACACTTAGGACCGCTTATGAAAACGAGATAAAGCCCCTCGCTGTGTGGTGTTGGAGACAGCACTTGATGTGTGGGCATTTGGTGTTAGGAAGCGGTTCAGACTGGAGCACTCCCTGTGGAGAGAATGTCCCTGAATCACGTAGCAGAAGCCACTTGGAGGGCCTGTGAAGTCACCTGATGTGCAGAGAATTGTGGGACAAGTTTGTTTGTCCTCTCCTGAGAGGAAGAAGTAGGTTTTCAATGTGAACTGTGACAGGAAGGCAAGCCTAGCCTGTCCCTGGGCATGAGATCTGTGTCAGGATGGGGGAGACAGCTGCCAAAAAGTCCAGAGAGAGGCTGCGCAAGCCTCCAGTGATGTGGGGGCAGAAGGCCTTTTCAACATTGGGCCTCATCTTGACGGTGAGCCTCCGGATCAGAAATGCATTGCCTGGTGGATCAGGAAACCATGCCAGGGCATTTCGTTTAGGAGAAATCGTGAGAGCTCTGAGTAGAACAGGGACCCCCACACAGACGTTCATGTCCCTGTGCACACGGGGCTGACGGTGCTTGCAGAGTGTGAAACGGGAAATGTCTGAACGAACACATCTGTACTTGCAGAAAATGACGAAGACGAGGATGAAGATGTTCACGTCGCAGAGGCTGAGAAAATAGAGGAGCCACGTGCCCCCAGGTAACGCTGAATAATCAGGAGCAAGTAGTGGGTGGTAAAGTATGGAAAAGATCTAGAATCTCACCCTCTCTGGTGTCTGCCATGGGCCAAAAGCCTCCATTCCCTTGGCCACAATACGTTCAGTTCAACCCAACTTAGACACGGGGTGTGGCAGCTGTTGTGGTTCTTTGTATGTGCTGGGTGCCGTGTCTGAATTATGCAGGGATAACCGAGTCTCTGTTCTTCTCAGCTCCTTTCTGCCCAGTGTGATGAATACCAGCTGCTCTCTTTCTCTCCAGCTCCCATGGCAGCCATGCTCTGTGGCAGAGAGGAGGATTGCCTGTTTCCTCTCAAAGGGAACCTCCCATTTGCCTTCTGAGACCCCTCTCTGATTCCTCCTGTGAAAACCAGCCAGGACTTGCTGGGGTCCAATCCCCCTTTGTTTAATCTTTTGTCATCTCTATACCCTCAGGCTCATCGGGGAGGTGGCGAGGGCTGATGTCAAGAGAGTCCCTGAAGACTCACCGGAGGAATGTCTCATCACTCGTTCAAATAGCTATGGCCCTACTGACTCCAGCCAGCCTCACGGAGACACCAGTGAAATCCCATTCAAGGCAGACAACGTCGACTCTGCACTGGCTGTCGAGAGTCCATCATCCCATGATGTAGTGGAGGATGCTCTAATCATTCATTCAGGTGACCCCTACATTCCTTGTTTTTGGTACCTCTGTCTAGGCTGAGGAAGATCAACTCTGAAGACAGGCTCTATGCACACAAATCGGTTTGAAGAAAAATGTGTGATGGGACACTAAACACAGATATCAGGGAATTTTTATCTCTCCCTCAGCTCATGCCATGCGTTTGTCTCCCAGGCCCAAGTATCAAGTTACCAGAGCCCAGGCCGGTGTGACAAACTCATGGTCACCTGAGTGCAGGAGGTGTACAGTAGGTGTCTGTCAGGTCTCCTAGCTTTGAGTCGGTATCTCTCATCACCTGTCATCATGTCATCTGTCCCTGAACGACGTTCATGGAGCTTCCGTTGCTTTTTAAGGAAACCGGGAGCCTTGCCTATTCATTTGGCGATATTGTTCCCCAGGTTTGACTGCTCCGAGCGTCGTTCTTGATCTCTTTTGAGTCAGCTTGCTTAGCCGCACAGTCACCTTGAAACCAGGATGAAAACACTTCCTGTTTACCTTGCCGATGTGTTTCCGTGAAGCAAGGCTCAGCCCGGCTCTCCACCGCATCGGTGCAATGGCCGGTCTGATTTTTCTTCGTAGCATCACGTAGTGTTTGCTGTTGTCGGGTGGGAGTCTTTCTTTGTCGCCCAGGCTGGCGAGCAGCGGCACCACCTTGGCTTACTGCAGTCTCCACCTCACGGACTCCAGTGATTGTCCTGCCTCTGCCTCCTGACTAGCTGGGACCACAGGCGCTCACCACGGCACCTAGCTAATGTTTGTATTTTTAGTAGAGACGAGGAGGTTTCACCATATTGGCGAGGCTGGTCTTGAACTCCAGACCTTCAATTTTTCACCCGTCTTGTCCTTTGAAATCATGGATTTTGTTTGTTATTTTTTTTGAGATGGCGTCTCCCTCTGTTATTGAGGCTGGAGTTCGGTTGCACGATCTCAGGTCACTGCAGCCTCTGCCTCCTGGGTTCAGACGATTGTGCTGCCTCAGCCTCCCGAGTAGCTGAGACCGTGGGCGCGTGCCACCATTCCCAGCTATTTTCTCTGTATTTTTAGTAGAGACAGGCTTTCACTGTGGTAGCCAGGATGGTCCCGAGCTCCTGACCTCGTGAAGTGCTCACCTCGGCCTTTCAGAGTGCTGGGATTACAGGCGTGAGACACTGTGCCCGGCCCACAGATTCTCTTTTGTTTGTTTTTGTTTTGTCTTTTTCTGTTCCTTCTCCCTAGAGACTGTCCAAAATTGTCAGTGCCGACTCTATTGCATGTCATCACGGCGGGGTATTGGGGAAAGTTTTCAATGAGCAATAATCTCATCTCAGATAGAACTCATTGGCTAGGATACTGCCACTGCGCAAAGCTGGCAGATTCTTTTTCAAGCAAGTGTGTTGTTAGAATTTAGATACTGTCCAGTTTCATGTCTAGGTGCCTCTGACCATTCAATGACCTTGCTGCCTGGTGAGAGAAGTCAGTATTGCAGCACCACTCCCAGAAAATAGTTTGACTAATTTTTG